GACAAAAATGTATCATTTGTGCACTTGATATTTGATGGCCTTCATCTCCTTGAACTTTCCCTTTTCTGTAAGCTCATCTATTCCCTGGAGTCCCAGCTCTTATCTATCTCTTCCTTCTTCCTTTGGCAGGGGTGAGGATGGAGGGCTGAAAAGAATGCCAGACATGGAATGAAATCAGCAGAACTGGTTTCTATTTGCAGGTTTGCAACTAGCTAGGCTGTTGGTCTTAGATGAGTTATTTAACCTCTCTGGCCCTCAGGTTCCTCATGTTTCAAAAACTTGAACCATGTTCATTGTTGGGTTTTTTTCTAGTCTTGTTTATTTAAGTAATCTCTCCATCCCACGTGGGGCTCGAACTCACAACCCTGAGATCAAGAGTCACACGTTCTTCCGACTGAGCCAGCTGGGCGTCTCCACTGTTCATCGTTTACTGCTTGTCTCACCCTGCCAGATGGCAAGCCCCAGTAGTGCAGGAATCTTTGTTCTCCTCACTGATGGATCCCAAGATCCCAGCACATGGCACATAGTAGGTGCCCGATGAAAACTTGTTTCATAGATAAATAATTCACTTCTGTTAGCAGTGTCACCACTCATCCAGTCTCCCACTGTAGACATCACAGAGTTAGTGAAAATTCCTGCCTCCCCTCACATGTTTCCAGTAACCAAGTCCTGTTTCCTAGCTTCTCTCATATCCATCTTTTCGCCTCTATCTGTGCTTAAATTCCCTTATATCAAGTTTTCATCACTTTTTAACATATTCTCCAAACTACTTTCAGAGTTATTGTTTTAAAATACAAACACGGTCGGGGAGCCTGGGTGGCTCAGTCGGTTAAGCGTCTGCCTTCAGCTCAGGTCATGATCTCAGGGTCCTGGGACGGAGCCCCACATCAAGCTCCCTGCTCAGAGGGGAGTCTGCTTCTCCCTCTCCCTCTGCCTCTCCCCCCACTCATGCTCTCTTTCTCGCTCTCCCTCTCAAATAAATAAATAAAATCTTTAAAAAAATAAAACAAAATACAAACATGGTCATCAAATTAACCTCTTTAAACCCCTTCAATGGCTTTCCCATTGTCCTCAGGCTCAAGTCCAAACTCCTAGGTGTGGTATACAGGCCCCTTCATGATCTGTGAAGTCTTTTGTGAGCACTTCTTAGACCTTCAGGTAATGCAAAATACACCTTACGCATTGCATCTCTCTCTCTTTTAGAGCACTTAGTGAGAGACATTTTAAATCTTTGTTCACAATTGTCTCCCCAGCTATGGATATGTTTCATCACCTCACATGCTGACAGGGAAATAATAGGGGCCCAATAAATGTTTGGCAAATGAACAATTAAGTGAGGAGGTTAGACCATTGTTTGGCTTTCACCTATGGGCAAACCATTTAACGTCTCTGTGCCTCCAAGCATTAGAATCTCTAGGGATGCTGAGGCAGAGGGACTAGAAACCACCACATCTATGAAACATCGAAGCAGGTATCTCTACACTTTCTTCCATACCTAATCTTATATGGACTATCACTTTTCCTGATCATTTGATTTGTTTGGGTGGGTAAAGGTGATTTGAGGTGAGGGAGGAGCGGGGTAGGGTTTAGGGTAGTTCATCTGGAAGGGGGGAGGGGCAAGCGTAGAGGCATGTTCATAATCAGCCCTTTCTTCTCCTTCTGAGTGATTTCTGCTGACAGGATTGGTGCATGTCTTTGTGTATTAGGTGGAAGGGGTGAACTGGGGAAAGAGAAACTCTCAGCACAGTGAATTTCATGTTGATTTGTTGGCAATACAAATATTTGAATTTGTACAACTGGTGACTGGTATATTGCCAAAGGTTTTGCCCAATTCTGAGGCATTAGGAAGGACACATATGGATGTGAGTGGCCTTAGGGAGAAAAGGTATGATACAAAATCACTATTTAATCAATAAATGTTTAAGTCATATATAAAGAGGCAAGTTTTTGACTAAATGTTAAGAACCTTCTTATGGTAAAGATATTACATATTGGTGTTCTCTAGAGTCTTGACTTTCTTCATTCACATTTTCTGCATCTTCTTGAACAATAATGTGTGTTCCTAAGGTCTGAACTATATCACAAATACTTGTGTCCAGTTCAGGATTCTCCCATTAGTTCCATTCTTGACTATCAATCCCTCCCTGGACATCCGCACCCGGATCTTCTGCAGACACCTCTAACTCAGCACATCCACAACTGACCTCAACAGGTCCTGTCTCTGCCCACACCTGTTTTTCTGCCAGGGCTTTTTTGGTCTCAGCTGGTGGTGCTTCCTTTTACCTAGCCACCCAGGATACTTATCCCTGGCTCCTCTCTGTCCCTCATCTGCCATGGTAACTGCTCTCTGGTCTGTCTCCACCTCACTATTCTCACAGCTGCAGTTTTAGCCCAGGCCCTCCCCAGCACTCCACTTCTGGGCTACTCTAATAATCACATTGCGCTTGTCCCTTATGTCCCCACATCATGTGTCTCAATCAGTCCTCTCAGTTGCTGTCAGAGTGGTCTATCCAACATGCAGCTTATTATAAGCCACTCAGTGGCTTCTTATTGTGTCCAGGGGAAATGCAAATCCCTTAACATGTTGTGCAAATAAAACTCCCCATGTTCCAGCTCCTGCCCATGTCTCCTCTGGACTCCTAGGCTGCAGCTCTACCCAACGACTTGCAAATCCTCAATTGTGTCATTTGAATTCACATCTCTATTTCTTTAAGTTACTTCTTCTGCCTGGAATGTTCTTGCCCCTCTTGTCCACATGATAAACATGTACATCTTTCTAATGTTGATTCAAGTGCTGACTTCTTCAAAGCCTTACCTGACTATAGGGCCTCTTCTCATGGAAATACCCCTCTTTGTGCCCTGCGGCACCTGACCCTGCACATAGTCCAACGATAAGACTTTTTTTATATGGTGAATTAGGTGATGGGCTACTAGGGGAGAGGATAGTACAGTACAATGGTTAAATGTATGGAATATGAAGCCAGAATACCTTAGTCCAAGTTTAGACTCTGATACCTATTATACAGTTGACTTTGGACAAGTTATTTAACCTCTCTGTGTCTCGCTTCCTCATTTTTTTTTTTTAAGATTTTATTTATTTATTTGACAGAGCGAGAGACACAGCGAGAGCAGGAACACAAGCAGGGGGAGTGGGAGAGGGAGAAGCAGGCTTCCCACTGAGCAGGGAGCCCGATGTGGGGCTCGATCCCAGGACCCTGGGACCATGACCTGAGCTGAAGGCAGACACTTAATGACTGAGCCACCTGGGTGCCCCTCAGGTTCCTCATTTGTAAAGTGGGCACAATTATAGGACTTACCTCACAGGGTTATTATGAAGATTAAAAAATATATGTACAACACTTAGAATAGTGCCTATTACAGAATAATTATGTGAGTGTGTGCTTTAGTAATAATACAAATGTTAACATTCTTGTTTTAAACTTGAAGCTCTAGACGTACTATATCTGACACATGAAAGGCTGGAAGGGGTTCAATAACATTTAGCAAATAAATCAGTAATCAGGTTAGAGCCACAATACCCAGCTACCTTCTTTCTCTAACCATCTTCTAGCTTATTCTATGTGTCTCTTCCACTAGACTATAAGCTTCTCTTCTGCAAGAACCACATCCATCTTGTTCGCCCCAATAACCCCAGCACCAAGCACCATGCCAAGCACATAGCAGGCACACATACATCTGCTCAGTAAATAAATGAATAATTTTTTAAGGTCCACATTTTAGTTATTATTACATTGTTTTTATCATTTTATACATTTCTGAAACTGTAAAATGCAATCCTCTCTCCCATATTATTTCTATGTGAGGCAACAAAATTAAACTGAATTAATGCTCTTAACAGAGGGATTTTCTTGTTTCTTTACAGCATAAGACTGCAGACTTTTTGGTTCATAAACGAATTCAGTGGTATAAGAAGTCTCACAGAGCTTCTAATCTTTCCTGTTTAGCACATGGCATTTTATATCCTCAACAAAATTCATAAGCAGAGGTTCTGTAGGAGTTCTTATTTATTAATTCTACTCATTTAATGAGCACATGGCCTAAGGATAAGAAAAAAAAAGTATAAAGAATGACCCATTATTTTTAGTTTAGGTGGTGGAAAAACAAATCATGTACGCAAATGGCTACATCACAATGCTGATTTTACTCTAGCAATGAGTATGGTAGGATTTCAGAGGATCCTCTTGATGTGATCAGGAGGGGTTTTATAGAATAGCTAAAACTGTAGTTGATCTTAGTGGATGGGCTGGATTTTCAGAGATGGAAAGGTACCAGCACTCCATGCTGAGGAAAGGGCATAGAGAAAAGTGTGAACGTGTGATGTACTGGGAGTGAGCAGAGCCTATGAGTCCTTTTGCAGAAGGAGGGATTTATGCAGGAAGCAGAAGTAGAAGACAGACTAGAGACAGGGATTTGGAATAGTTTCTGGTGGGTTTTTCATAACAGGCGAGGATATTTGAACTTTATCTCTAGACAGTGGAGATCTATCACTGATTTTAAGGTAGGGAATAGGAAAAGGAAAGCCAAGTTGTGGGAATAGTAATTGGGCGGCAATATGGCAAGGTATAAATAGAGTTCCTGAGCTAAGTTCCATTTTTAAGTGATGGAACACCCAGCGGAAATACTCAGCAGATGACTGGAAATGAAGGATTATTTGAGTTTGGGGGGGGCGGATACTGATTTGAAATAACCTGTAGAGAACTGACAGTAGGAGACATGGGAAAGGATGAAATGACTGCAGGAGAATGCAGAATGAGGGCAGAGGTTCAAGTCCAGACTGACAGCAACAAAAGATATAATTACAAGCCCAGTAGTATGTTGCTTACAAAAACCCAGTCAAATACTAACCTAGGAAATACTTGGAAGCCCCTTATGACCATGAAGGCATTCGGATCAGACTTTGAGAAGTACCACCCTTAAGGCAAAGACCAGTGAGGATTTGGGAGTGGAGGAAGCAGGAGAAAGAGGTAACTCCAATGTACCTGTTGAGCAGTCAGATCCTGTCCACTTGGGATCACAGCTGCACACTCCAGTGTCCAGAAGAAAAGTTCCATGTCCTGAGCACTGCTCTTGACATATAGGAAGTGGGGTTTCACAGTTGACTCCTCCCCAACCAGTAGAACAGTGACATTCTCCTTTTACACAGATGCCATGGCTGGAACACATCGGGTCTAAGCAGTCCTCTGAAGGCACCAAAAAGGAGGAAAAAGGTTAAAAGTGAACAGGTGTGGCCTGTATACCTTAGTATAGTGAAACTGAGATACGCACACTGATTTCCTACTATGTCTTTAATACTGATTTAATTAGGTAATAAAATGTCTCATGCAAAGCCTGGATTCAAACCAGAAGATTATTAACACTTAAAAATATGGGAGGGTATCATAAAGTTTGTAAAATTAGAAGACGAAGGAAACCACACATCTGTTGTATAAAACTGTGAGCAGTGTGCAGTACTCCCACACAAATGGGTGGGTGTCCCACTGTGGGCCTTCGATAGGAATTCTTCAGCTTTGCAAAAAAGCCCAAGAATTTTTGGGGAGTCCTTCCTTGTCTTTTTTGAGATTGGAATCATAGCTCTGAGAAATGGCTTTCAGTTGATGTGACTAGAGAAGATATACATAATAATTACACAGAGAATATAAAATAAATAAATATATAAAATATACTACATATAAAAATATGTCTACAAATATAAAAATGTTTATAAATATATAAAATATTAAAACGTACATGTCTTTTTTAAGCTTAGATTACTAAGTATAAGTGAGCTGACCACTGTTATGTGAAATCATACAATATTATGAATTTATTATAATCTTTCACTAATTTCTTGGAAGCACTGAAAATGTAACATTTGTAAACTTAATTTGAAAAATTATTAAAGTTTTTTTTTCATGCCTTCTCCTTCCATCAGGATGCTGTGACATAGTTTTCAATGTTTTAGAATATCACAGATGTACTTCTATTTGTCTCTGATTCTGTGAGTTTGGAAATATTTGGACACGTTCTAAAAAAGGTATAAACTCTTAGGAGTAGATCCCTGTGTTTGCCTTGGGGAAAATAGTTTTGTGTTTTTAACTGAGTGACCATTCCATGGGAAACAACAAGGTTGATTTCCAAAATTCTACTCTCCCAATACAAATAAGATGAGACTAAAATAACTCCCCATAATGAGGATGTATGCTTTGAACGACTTTTCCAGCCATGGAGACAGACTGATAAAAACCCACCTTCATTCGCAAGACTGCTCTTGTCTTGGGTGTGGCCTACAGTCATGGAACAGGGTAAGCCTAACTAAGCATTATTATAATTAGTGCTATTGCCATTATAATTAACCCTAAATCTCAAGGTCATCAGCACAATGCTTTACTACCTGAGCTAATCAGCAAATAAATACTAAAAGGTACATCTAGTTTGATTTCGTTCATTATTTGGAGTGAGAGGGAAAGTCTAAAAGTACAGAATAATGTTTTAAAAGGAGGCTATTTTATTATATTAAAACACAACTTTAACAAGTAAAATAAGATTTAACTCAGTATAGTTTATTTTATTAAAAGGCCACTTTCAATGAGTATGTAAGTTGCTTAAATCAGAGGCACGAAGTCATAGGGCTGAATGGGCCAGCAGGCAGCCTACATGATTGAGATGAACGGGATAGAAGAAGCCAGTGTGTTGGGAGTGAACTGGGAGAAGTATCCAGTTTATAAAAAGTGCTGCTTCTTGGTTCCAGGTGATCATCACCACGTAGGAACATGGCCCCAGGGTTATCAGATTTTCCAGTTGTTCAAGAGACCCAAAAGAGAAGTTTTTATAGGACACTTCTCTATTTTTAAATTTTGGCAAGTAGACTGCATTAAAAACAACAACAACAACAAAAACATTACCACCATCACCACTGTGTGAACAAAACAAAATGCATTCTTAAGCCCAATTCAGCCTGTGAGTTTCCAGTCTGTGACGTCTGACTTAAACATTCTTTTCTACTGTATTTGACAAGTTCATACTGTTAAATATGATGAGCATTCTTCCTTGCGATCTTGGTTATTCTACAGATTTTCTTAGTGATCCCTAGAAGGGAAATGTAAGCTAAGCCGTTTTTCTGCTGCTCCCAAATTTTAATTAGAAGGCTCTAAATTAATTAGGTCAAACATTTTCATGGCCAACTGTAGATGTTGTGAGAGACAGCACGTTTTGGTGAATATGCATATGTCCACATAACCTCCAAATTTACAACTTAAATATAATGATTGTGGTTGGATCACCATAAAAACAATTTCCAGAAGTACTCTGGTGCCCTGTCTAGGCCCAGGGCCATGCACTGGAACAGATACAGTCTTCACACCAAAAGTCTACTATTGCTAACGGGAGATGGAAAGCTAAACTCTTGGAGCAGAATAAGATTAAACCCTTTAGAATGCTGTGTAATAGTCTTAATGAGCCATCTTTAAAAAGCAATTATAGTGCATTTTCAGCAGCCTCTTTCCTGAACAACAGTTGTGATGAGACCATCTCCCATGGTAATGGTTTAATATTATTTCTGAAATCAGTCTTATTTGAGGAATGTGGCATGAAAAAGGTCTGATTACTAGTAAACTTATTTTCCAATGTGTCTCTTTAAATGAGAAAACTATTGCCATTTCAAACGATGTTTGTGCGTGTGTGCATAAAGTTTCCTTTGGGGTGAATTGTAATATAAAGGCACTGCCTTGACACTCATTAATAGTAAGTTGGCTTCCTTAGGCACGGAGGTCAAGTTTCAGCATGAGGTATGTAAAAATAAATAATATAAAGCAATGATAATAATGGTAATTACAAATTGCTCCCAAGGAAAACATTCAACGAAATGGTTCCAAATGTGCATATATTATTATTTTTATCATGTGCTTTAAAGTAAGATGTAGCCTAATGTACTGCGTAATAACGAAAGTATATGAATGAACACCTAATATCATCAACATGGAAATTCCCAAGTTATAAAACAGTGTTAGAAATGAGGGGGGAAGCACCATTTTCCCTTACCACTCTGAGAGTGTCACAGACACAGCCTTGTGTTAATATTAGAGACTGTCAGAAGAGACATGAACTCCCCTGACTCCAGCCCTCTGCTCCGTGTACTAAAGACATATTGAACATTTACTGCTTGCAAAGACGACTTGTCTCTCTACTAGAAGCACACAATGACACTTGGACAGTTCAGAGAGAGAAAAGCCTGAAGCAAGAGATGAAAATGGGGCTCTGACCTTCCTCGCATATTTCTCCTTTGTAGCCTGGCACACAGATGCAGACCCCCATGATGCAGGTGCCGTGACCGAAGCATGTTGGGTCAATGCATTGCTCTTCTGGAACGTCGCACTCTGGCCCCTTCCAGCCATTTCGGCAGACACAGTGTCCTTTCTCGTATTCTCCATTCCCGCCACACAGCACAGGGCACGAATCTGAAGGTTGGCAAATGAACTTGTAGTGTTCTCAGAATGCTTTTAAAATCTCTAAAGGGGCAATTCTCTGTTGATTCTTGTATAATATTTCAGGCAAAAATTTGTACTATTTCTGTCTTAGCCTTTATTAAATAGGCACTTGTTTGTGATTACAAATAGAATTTTCCTTTTATGGGAGTGGAGTAAGCGTAAGTGATAAAAATATAAATTTACGCCAAGTATTTGCTTTTGATCCCACCATACTTTTAAACAACTATTATTATTATTATTATCATCATTTCAAGCTAGGTTTTTTTTCTCTAATGGCTTTTCTTCCTCAAACAGATGTATGCTGCTTTTAGAAAGAAAACCAGAAAAATGTAAAAACTGATAAATAGGGGAGTTATTCATATTATAAAATGCTATCTTTAAAAAGTCGTACATTTAAATAGATCTATGCTGGACAGATGTTTACTCCCTTGCCACCGCGTGCAGACCTTCACTAGAATACTTACTCTGCTTTGTCATTGTTGGCTCCCTATTAAAACTATGGGCTCCTTGAGGGCAGGGCCTGCATCTTTTGTCTTATTCAATTTTTAATACCAGCCATCATCTTTATTCCTAATTCCCACATTTGCAAAATCTATCATGCTCCTGGGAAGCAGCAAGTGCTATAGAATTCTCAGCTGAGCAGAATTTAATCTAAAGAAACTGAGTGCCTGGGAAACCTGAGATTAAAGCATTAGCAGACTGAGAACTGTGAGAATATACCAAAAAAGAGCAGAAAGCATCTCTACGGTAATAACTGTAAGCCTATGGGGAAACACGGTGTGACTTTACCTAAAGCTTTTTAAGAATTAAACTATGGGCAAGTCTAGAAAACAGTGAAGTTTGCCAAGTTTACTTCTGACTTGCCAGTATTTAATTTTTAAGCCTACTTACTGGTTCGGAGACTGCCTGTCCCTTTGAGTTTACATGGGTGTGTGTATAAGCAGTTACAGACGACTAGGTACAAATTCCACCTGTCAGGTAACCCTGACTAGTTCACCTCTTCAAGGATGCTTCTTTGCCCAATAAACTGGGATAACAGTAGCTCTACCTCACTGGGCTATCGCAGGAAGTATGAATCCGAAGAGGTAACAGAGTGTTTAGAACACTGTCTGGCAGGGTAAGTGCTCAACTTTGGTTGTGGTGGTGGTGGCGGTGGGGTGGATACTGCTGCTCTTGTCGCTACTACTGCCCCTTCTCCTCCTCCTCCTATTGCTACTGATCCTGAGTTCTCAAATAACATGTATTTCCCTAAGCCAACTGGAGTAACAGAGCAACATTACCTCTCGCACAGTCAGGCCCAAGGAATCCTGGAAAACAATGACAATGGCCCGAGATACACTCTCCATTTCCATTGCAATTGGTTGAACAGTCATCCATTATTTCTAGTAATAGAGAGAAAAAGGAAAAAAATGAGGAAACTTCCAGGCTGTAGGGTCCTTATTTTTTTTTTTAATTGTAAGAACTCTGGGCTTGTAACAATCTTGCCCTGTGCTGTCTTGGAGCACTTACTATTTAAAATCAGATGCCAAAGATTTTTGTAAGATGTCACAGGCAGTACCAAATTATTAAAAGGGCCCTGGAATTGCTGAATTGGCTATTCAGGAGTGAAACTAAAAACCAACCTCATCTCTAAAGTGCATAAAGGGTCTAGATGAATTGTATTCTTATGAGACATTCATGGCAAAGCTAAAAATGTCCTAGGATTATAGGACATTTATCAAAAGCAAAATGGGCTTAAAATTGCAACCCAAAAGACTCAGTCTACTGTTTATTTTTCAAATTTAGGTTGTAACAAATAAAAAATTTCTTCTCTAGCATCTTAAAATGTTTAATCTACCATCTTGACAGCTTAAATATGATAATCAGTATTTCATTTTCATTAATAAGTGACAATGGAAGGCTTTTAAAGTAAGTGTTCATATTAAATTCAACACCACTAAAAGCATTAGAACCTAAGTATTTTGTTGAGAAATGCTTTCTTGACTGTAAATGCTTATCAGTTCTCTGCCACTAATTTCCCTTCAATCCATTCTTAGAGAAGAATAGGTTTCAGGGGAATCGAGAAGGCTTTGAAGGTGCCCACAGGTAGTTCTGGTGACACAAAGATGTGCAGTGAGACAGAACTTTGATAAGTCTTGTGGTAAGTAACTTGGCTGAAAAGGTATGAAGTTATACAAAAGTCAGGCTCTGACAATGACAAAAATTATTTCTAGTTTAAAATTGTATTGAGTATAGTAAAATCAAATTCCAAGTCCATGAACTATTATGGTATGTGTGCTTTCTTCTTTCAGTTTTCTTTTTAAAATCATCTTCTCATTACTCCTTCTGGAAATTTTCCATACTTAGCATTCTTGGATTCAGAGTTTTATGCTCTGGCCCATTAAACTCATACTTCTCATATGTACCAGTTTTTCCTTTTCAATCCAAATTATCTACTTGGTCTAGTTTCACTTGCATAAGCTATTTCCAATTAGAAGGAGATATTCTAGGAAGTGGTCTTGGCATCTTCTACTCAACTATGAGAATTTATAATGAGGGTCGGGAAATAGCATTTCTTCAATTGTGGCCTTTTGACCACCAGTATCAGGAGGATCACCGGAGGCACTTAAAATGCAGATGCCTAGGCTTCATTCCAGATCACTGCATCTGAAGGATGTAGCCTAGTGATCCACATTCTAACAAAAACCTCAGGTGACCCTGCAGATGCTCACCGCCTTAAAGCATTGTGAACCAACACTTCAGATAGTACTTCCATAGTTAGACAACTTCTGATCTAGACTTGGAGTTCCACCTTGGGTAGAATAAAAGCAAGAGGAAAAAGGTGGTATCTAGTTTATTTGGGGAATGCTTAGAAAGCTGAGAATGAATCCAGTGGCTGTGTGGAGAGCCACACTATTATCACGCAGAGGAGATTTTTCTTCTCACCCCCCCTCCGCCCCCGCCGTGTGAATACATCAGATGGCTCTTTGCAGGTTTATGATAATCTGTTCTTTGATCCTTGTGTTTGAAAACTGAACTGGATAAGAAATTTATATGTGGCATTTGCTGAACTACAATTGATCTGGCGGGAATGGAGCATTTGACAAAGAGCTACCCATTTTTAACTTATTAAAACATTAGTTATTTTCATAAAATCATTAATTTATTTAAGTGGTCATTATAAAAAGGCACAAAGAGTTTTTTTTCATTCAAAGATGGAACAACCATTTCTCTATTTTCTACTTAATCCATCTTTCTTGTACCAAGCAATAGTGGCACTTTTTAGATCTACATTTGGATTTCCCCTGCCCTGGATGGTTAATAGGAGGCCCTGGAGGACGCTTCCGAAGGTAAATATAGTTGAATTTAATTTCACACCAGCTCCTATTGACAACTTTATGGAAGCAGCCCTGTGGGAATGTAGCTATTGTAGAAAAAAATGTTTAATAAAGTTCACTATCAAAATAAATAAAAATCCCTCCATCTTATTGACTTATCTAAGATTTGTCCCTGGGCCCACACTGCTGCACGGAGCTTAACACCAGCAACACAAGCGAGAAGAGAAGGCAATATAGGGAGGTTCTGGAAGCTGCCACCTCCACCAGATACACTGGGAGGAGGATGGTTACAGCAGGAGCATGTAAGTAACCAGAGGTGAAAAAGAATGTGTTTTTCTATTTACATTGGCCTCCGTGAAATTTTGCCTTCTGTCTTTTTAATCTTACTTCAGAATCACTTCCTTGACCACAGTTCATTAGACTTGTGAAGGATTTTAAAGTTCTATGCATAAAACTCTGTTCTTCTTCCAGAGTCTAAAGCCCCTTGGTATCTGCATCTGCACTGATGAGGGGTTTTGTTTCTGGCAGGTTTTCTTATGGGAGGGACTAAAGGTAATGAATAGTCTGATGGAATAATTTTGGTATAAAGGGCATGGGCTTTGAAATCAGACATACTGGGTGTCTCAAATCTCAATTTTGCCATTTGCTGGCTGTGAGAGTCTATCAGATTATTTACTCATTCCAAGCCTCCATTTCCTTATTTATTATATAAATATCACTACACCTATGCTATCAGGGTTGTGATGAGAATCAAACAAGATAACTGAATGTAAAGTGTCTGGTACCATGCTTGGGGGCAGAATGGCACTCCATAAATGGTATATATTGTCATGTTACAGAGCAGGTTGGCTGAGGTTAGGGGATATTGGCAACTCTGTCTATACTACTGGAAAATAATATATATTAATATAGGCCAGCGGCTAACATATATTAGTCATTCAATAAATGTTGGTTGTTAATACTGTCTTGACTCTTATTAGTAGCAGACCAAATATAGTTAAGATCCATCAACTGATTCTGACATTATCATTAAAGAGAATGAACAGCATTTTAGCATAGTTAAATTCATACTAAGCTTAAATTGCTTAATCAAATATATTAGCCTCTTTTTACTATAATTAGGATAAATAATAAAAAAACATAAAAAATTAATGGGGAGAATTTAGAGTAAATAACTTAATACCTTTGATTTTTTTTCAGAAATTTACTTGGATTCTCTTTAAGTGGAATTGCAGGAGAAGTGTTTCTGTTGCTTCAGGAGAAGTTAAAAAAAACCTGACTAGCATAAGGAAAAAGCAAATACTTTGTTGCATATGATACTGACAGCTTGGTATCTGGATAATAAGAATTCTATCTCAAAGGTTAGCTTCTTTTTGGGAGGAAGTAAGGGAGGGAAAAAAAAACTTCAAGCATGTTTCTGGGTCTATTGATTTTTGAAAGGTTAATAGTTGGGTTAGTGTTTTAACTTGAACTTAGTGGTAAGGATAACAGGAAGGGAGAACATCTTCACAAATCTTTTAGATCTTCTAACTGCTTGATGTCTGAGGAGAAACTCAACCTCTCATAACTCATTGGCATCTGCATTATCAAAATTGGGCCTTGACAGAAAAATATCATGAAAGCTAGATCTATTAAATCTGCTCCATTGAGTCTGTGAGAGTTGCAAAATAGTGTCATGACTTAAAATACTTTTTTTCTAATTTAACAAATAATGTTGTCTTTTGAAGATGTAAAATCAGTGGAGTTTTTCTCCAAGGGGAAAAAAATCATCAGTGCATTATTATAGCCTTTCTGATTACTTTAGAGGAAAGTTTTTGATACTCTTATGGCTGGAATACCATTTTCTACTGACTCAAGGTCTTCAGCATCAAGTAAAAATAGAACATGATTGTTACAAAGAGCAGATGGTATATCTATTAACAGTCAACACATCTTTCTAAACATATGGTTGAACAGGTTAACTAAAGGATAAAGTGGTGAAAGTTGTATAGAAAAGTGACAGCTGTAAAATATTTTCCCTTCTTTTAAAAGACATGTGTTTTAGGAAAATTCACACAATAAAATACTGTGTCTATGAAAGGTTTCCCCTCAGGGCTAAAAATTCTACAAGAAAGGGCTCTGGGTGACCCAAGTTATTGTCCCTAAGACTCTTCTCTAAATACTCTTAGGTTGTATTTTGAAGGCACAACGGTTCTAGAACCAGCTGTGCTAAAGAAGGACTGATGCTAGTTTTTCCACTTCAAGAGGCATTTATCTGCCTTTTCTTTTCTTTTTTTTTATTATGTTATGTTAATCACCATACATTACATCGTTAGTTTTTGATGTGGTGTTCCATGATTCACTGTTTGCGTATAACACCCAGTGCTCCATTCAATACGTGCCCTCTTTAATACCCATCACCAGGCTAACACATCCCCCCACCCCCCTCCCCTCTAGAACCCTCAGTTTGTTTCTCAGAGTCCAGTCTCTCATGGTTCGTCTCCCCCTCCGATTTCTCCCTGCTTCATTTTTCCCTTCCTACTATCTTCTTTTTTTTTTTTTAACATATAGTGTATTATTTGTTTCAGAGGAACAGGTCTGTGATTCAACAGTCTTACACTGCCTTTTCTTTTCTAATAGCTCTTAAATTAACAGAGATTCTCTTGCTTACTCCCTACTTCCTTGAAGTTGTTCATCAATGCAGCCCTGGTAATATGATTATCCAGGTGATTATTCCTTTTGAAAACAAAAAAAGGTACATGGCAACTATCCTACAATAGCAGCAAATAATGGAGCATTAAAAAAATCTTAATCAGCATTTAAACAACATTAATGATAACAATATAAGCCTTTCTCATAGTGACCTATCTTGAATAAGGACTTTAAGGCAGAACGAACGAGCAATGAGTTTAAACAACATCTGTATCACTTTAATCACTGATCTCTTTCTAGAACTCTGCTGTTAATTCAAAATAATTGTCAAGGCAGCTTACCGATTGCTGTGGTTAACACGAATACTTGCTCCATCTTTTTTCCATCATTGTAAAATGCCAGATACCAAGGCCCTTGGTCCATATACTCTATGAAACCGGTCTCCTGCAGTGAGGTTAAGATCAGGTTCCGAGGGGAGTGCTGGGTATCATCAGAGCCCTTAGAGTCCTGCTTGACCAGTTGTTTTCCATCCATCAATTTTACAAAATCAAACTGGAACAAATACACACACAAATATGAGCCACTACTTTTACTTCTAGACTAATGAACAACTTTAACTTCAATTGCCCTATTTCATACTTCATACTTCTCTGAGGGAGGCAAAGTGAAAGAAGAAGTTATTCCTTCTTAAGTATACTTAAAAACAAAAGTATATTACTGATTCTGAAAAAAAACCCACTATATTTATAAATGCCATAAACCTTTCAGTTTTGGAATATTAAAAATAATTGTCTAAAAAGAAGTAAATCAAGAAATAGGAAAAAAATCTTATTTAGTATTAGGCAAGAGAATCTTGATATTTTACTAAAGTATCAGATAAAAGATATTTGGAACCACACATTCCCCTCAAAAATGTGACCATGATCTTCTCTACAAATTCAAGAGTTTTACAGTTTTTAAAACAAGTAAACAGTCAAAAATTTGAGAACGTTCATCATAATTTACTACCTTTGTGGTAGCATATTTAAATATTCAAAGAACCCCCTCTTTTCCCTTAATCAGTGGACAAGCACATAGCACACATTTCCTTGGACATTTTTTTTAAGAGTCACATTTGAATTCCCATCCAGAAGGTAAGGTTTGGACTACAGTCGTATCTGTTGAAAAAAAAGCAATCCACTGATGGTTATGATTCCTTATGCTACTTCTTAGATGGAGCAGGACCCCAAATGGGTTCATGCAAGGAAGAGATAAGGAAAAAAAATGAGACAAATCAGGTGGCTAATATTTATAGAAGGGCTTTGTAAACCATAGAGGTTTTACATATTTAAGTTATTATTAACAATAACAAGAAAAATTTTCTACCTGTAAGATAAAACCTCTCTTTTGGACTAACTTCCTTTATTGCTTTGCATTCTTCATTGAGACAAGGGGTCAAGGCCATATGGAGCCAGCTAAGGTGGGGTGTGGGCCCAAAAGCTAAGTAAGATGAGGGGGTGGGGAAAGCACACAATAATCCTGTTCCAGGAAACAGAATTCAAGTTTCAAGAGTATTTTCCTAAACTTTCTTTTCTGAATTTGTTCTGCTAAATGCTATTGCTTATTTCTCAATGTCATTTCCTTTTCATTCGAGTGTGATTATTTTGGATATTTGCCCATTACAAACATTGTCTGCCTTTACATTTGACCCCCACATACCTTGCAAGTCACAAACCCTGAACTATTCATCCCACCGCCCTCTAAAAGGGTCAAGAAATACCTATAACATTAAATACCTGCGTGTGTGTAGGTGGAATGTTTCTTCTGCCATAAATTCCCAGCAGAGAGTCCTTGGCTAAAGAAATATTGAATTTCAGGTATATAGGATGGTGGATAGTAATCTGGAAACGCCAGAATAAGCCGGGCGGAATGGTCTGCATGACCTGTGCACCAATGTCAACTTCTCCAGTGTCTATCGCCCGTCCCTTCTGAAACACTGGTTTTAAAGGTAAAGAAAATTGCACATGATATTAATCTTAACGTATAAAGCAGTGGTTTTTAGTTTTTCAGCACAAATACATCAAAATGACTTCCTAAGCTCTTTTTTCCTCCCTACCCTACCTGTATTTCAAGGCTTTACCCAAATCAAATATCTTCCAAGGAGCCTTCCCCAACCAACCACTGTACCAGTCTCTTCCTTGTCTTGAACTACTATTGCATTTATTTCCATCATTTGATTCATTTTAACCACTATTTAGTGAGCGTGGTCTGGGTAGGTACAGGAGATACAGCGATGAACAAGATGCAGTTCTTGCGCTCAAGGAGCTTTGAATACATGAGAGGAAACAGGATACGTGTACAAGTAACCATGCTGTAAAGGAAAATAAGTGCTCTGGGTATTCAAAGGAGTAAAGGGTATTTGGTTGGAGGATACTCCTCATTCTTAGCTGTCTCTATGCCTTTTAACATCCTTTATTTTTCTTCTTAGTACTTATCACCCCCTAAGGAACCACATGTTTTACTTGTCTATTGCCTATTTTCTCCCAGTAGAATATAAGCTCCATGAAGCTGTGGCTGTTTTGTTCCTTGCTTTATACCCAGTAACTAGAAGAATGTAAGCAAACAGTCTATGCTCCATACATATTTATTCAATGAGTGAATGAACGAGAAAAGGGTATTTATGGGAAGTAGTACTGAAGAGGGGCCTTGATGGGGGGAGAAGATTTCAACAGAGCTGTTGAGAAGAATGTTCCACAGGGAAGGAACTCTGTACCAAAACAAAGAGGAGAGAAACTTCTAAAGCTATGGTGTAGGGTATGTGCCTACAGAGAGGAGCAGTTGGAGATAGGGCTGGAGGGAAAGGATGGCATCATAGGGCCTTGAGTGCCAGTCCTGAGGGTTTATCAAGGATGGAAAGCCATTAAAGGTTTTTAAGAAGAGGGGAAATATTTGGGTACATTAGAAAGACTAATCTTGAGGCAGAAGGTAGGATGATTTAGAGCGGGGAAACAGAGATGATAGAGAATTATGGAGCAATAATTCAGGTGTAATGACATAAAGATCTAAATTTACAGTGGGCTCAACAGTTCACATGGGATAAGTCCATTCCAGTCAACTGTAAAATAAACAAGTGGGACTACATCAAACTAGAGGGCTCTGCACAGCAAAAGAAACAATCAGTAAATTGAAAAGGCAACCTACAGAATGGGAGAAAATTATTTGCAAACCATATACCTGATAAGGATTGAATATCCAGAATATATAAAGAATTCATACAACTCAATAGTAAAAAAGCAAATAGTCCAATTTAAAAATTGGCAAAGGACTTCAACATTTTTTCAAAAAAGACATACTAATGGCCAATAGGTATATGAAAAGGTGCTCAACATCTCTAATCACTGGGGGAAATGCAAATCAAACCCATAATGAGCTATCACCTCATACCCTGTTAGGTTGGCTATTATCAAAAAGATAAGAAATAACAAATGTTGTAAGGATGTGGAGAAAAGGGAACTATTATACCCTTACACACTGTTGGTGGGTATGCAAAATGGTACAGTTGTTTTGGAAAACAGTATGGTGGGTCCTCAAAAAATAGAACTACCATATGATCCAGCAATCCCACTTCTGGGTATATATCCAAAGGAACTGAAATCAAAATCCTGAAGGGATATCCACACCACATTCACTGCAGCAATACTCACAACAGCCAAGATATGGAAAGAACCTAAATATCCTTTGATGGAAGAGTGGATAAAGAGAATGTGATGTGTATATTATATATATACACACAATATACAATACATATATATAAAATACTCCATTGTGTGTATATATATGTACACACACAGGCAATGAAATATTATTCAGCTGCCAAAAAAAAGGAAATCCTGCCATTTGCAACAACATGGATGAATCTGGAGGGCATTATGCTAAGTAAACTAAGCCAGAGAGAGAAAGACAAATGCTGCATGATATCGCTTATGTGTGGAATCCATAAAAGAATAAAAGCCAATTTCATGGAAACAGAAACTAGATTGGCTGCCAGGGCTGGAGGGAGGGGGAAATGAGGTGATGTAGGTCAAAGGGTACAAATTTTTAGTTATAAGAGGAGCTCTGACAATATAACGTAGAGCAAGGTGATTATAGTTAATGATACAGTATTATATACTTGAATGTTGTTGAGAGTAGATCTTAAGCATTCTTACCACACCAAAATGTTAACTATGTGAGGTGATGGATGTGTTAATTATCTTGACCTTTTTAATCATTTCTACATTGTATAGGTATATGAAATCAGCATGTTGTATACTTTAAATATATACAATTGTACTTGTCAATTTTTTCTCAAAAAAGTTAAAAAAATCACATATTATTGAGGAAGTATAAAACTGGGTTATCCTAAAGAATGATACAAATATCAATGAACTTCAGATTATTATAAATTTTAAAAATCTTGTACTTTCAAGCATAAATACTAAAAAATAAAAATCTATTTTTCAAGCTAGCATAGAGAAAATAATACTGAGATAAAAATAATTTATCTAAACTAAAGCAAGAAATGGAAGGCACAGGCTGGATGGATCAATTAGAAAACGTGAAGAAGATGGAAGATAAATTATAATAAAATAAAGAGCAATGAACTAAATGCTTATGTTAAAAGGCAAGAGTCATCACTGAATTAAAAAGTAAAATCTGAAGACATATATTTTACAAAAAAATATATTTAAAATATAAAGAGACTGATTTATAATAATAAAAGTTGTTTTCTCAGGAAGAAAAAAAAAGAAAGAAGAAAGAAGACAATGTAAAGGAAGATTCTAGTGCAGCGCTTCTCAAACTTGAATGTGCTTAAGGAAGGACGTCTTGCTAACATGCAAATTATGATTCAGGTCTGAGGTCGGATATTTCTCACAAGTTCCCAAGTAATGCCCATATTGCATGGTCCACAGCCTACGTATTGAAAAGCAAGGTTCTTAGGACACTGGGATGCTAGGTATGGAGGCTAAGGAAGGGTCAAAACTGGCCCCATGGTCGTTGAGTTTGGGTGACTCAGACAATACCAGTAGCAAAAACAAGAAACCTAGAAGGAGCTGGTTAGTGTGAGAGGATGTTGAGTTTGGACAAGCACATCTTTATTATTTATCACCATATTTTCTAATTATTTCTGATGTGCTAGTTTATTATATGTTTCTGTGGAATTCTCTGTTAAGTGGTGGCGGGGAGGGAAGGGATAGAAGAGGAGGGGCAAGAATCAGTTTGCCTTAGTTTTAACCACAAGGATCACACTTCAAATGGGAAAATTCAATTTGGTCTCATTTCATACTGCCTTTATATTTTTCAGCCATCAACTCTTTCTCCACACCAAACACAGTTTAAAAACACACATGGTCTCTGTCCTTTGTGTTCACTTGCCATAAAATTAACAGCCCATTAAGAAATACACCTGCAGTGGTTTTATTCAGAGGCCAATGCCTTCTAGCTTTTAACTCCCTAAAATACCTCCATTATTGCTTTTTGTGTTAAGGCCAAGAGTAATAACTATTTTAAGAATGTTCACTGTTAACTGTTAATAATAGATTTCAAATGCAATTTTGAACATAATTATGTATTACAGGACACATAATTTTGTGGAATTGACATTTATAATAAAATATGCCCTTTGAGATGATAAATGACCAACTGAGGACCTTATTTTTCGCTGAAAGTTACTTTTTCCCATGTGAGACAGAACGGTCTTGTCCCCAAAGGGTTGATTATGCATTTAACTCTTAGGGTCCTAGAGCTGACAGATGTCTTCAAAGAGAGGACAATTAACAGACCGTGTTTATGCGGATACTTCCGTTCTCAACTTAATGTTCAGTTTGTTCAATCGCTATCCTCATCAGGGGCTCTTATCACTTCTTAAAATGCATCATTTGGTTGTTCAAACACTATTATAAATAGAAAATAATTTAAAATTAGGTTCAACAAACACTATTTTAAAAGGGCTACAAACAGCCTTTAATGAATGCAGACACTGTCATTTTAAAAAATCAGGGCAAAACTGGCTGATGGACATTAACCTTTATATACGAGCCTTACCAAATGCTACAGCATGTCTTCCTTCTGCACTTTATAGCATCATATACTGCATAATGAGGCTACTTAAATGTTATTCACTAAATCAAAAGAAACTTGTGAAGTTGTGTTGTTGGAGCTTCCTGGTTACTAGCATTAGTAAATATCTGAAGCATCTATACTAAGTGATTTAGAAAAAAGATTTTAAAAGATGGTCTTACCCTTTGAGAGCCTGCACCACAGTTAAAACAAGATAGATGAAGAGACATGACAACATGAATGAACATGTGGACTATAATTTAAATAAAAATAGCATAGCAAGCGAGTTGCCGTAATTTGGTATTAAAGAGAAATTCTCACAGCTTGCAGATGGAAAATTTCTCAGCCTCTAACCTTTAGCGCTGAGTGCATCAGAAAGGGGGATGTCTCCCTGCTAGCAATCTACATCACTAAATAGCCTGCTCCATTTTATCTTCTCTCGAAATTTGTTACAGGTTACAATGTAGTGGCTCTTAGTTAATTTACTATTTCATTTTTTTCTTAATGTAGCTCAAAGGGGAAAACTAAAGAGAAGAAAACGACCTGCAGAAAAACTATACGGAATGCGATTTCAGGAAGACATTCTGCGCCAGGATAAGGAAGTGGAATCATTTTGTCCAAACTTAACATGGACTCTGAGCCCTCACTTGCAAAGTGTCAGCAGCAGGGCTCAAATACAGCAAGAAGGTCCGGATTCTGTAACATGAATGTTTAATTGTCATTTAATCACTCAGACCGTTACAGCCCTATTGGAAGGTCCAGGAAGAGTGTGTTCTCCAGTAGTGGAGACTCCCTTGCAGAAATGTAAGAGGAAGAGCAGACAGCCCCGGATCCAATCAAACTGTGCAGTACTGTTGTTATCACAGTCCCACCAATATCCCCCAATTTAGTTTGAGC